TCCTCGCGCGACCAACAGTACGGCCCGTGGCACACGGAGCTACTGGTATAAAACTGGAATTAAACTAAAATCACTTGACAGTCTTTTGCAAGTCCACGCGGCATGTGTATTCAAATCGAATGTCGTACACGGAGCTACTAGTTGCCGACCCGTATGCTACTGGTTAGTGATAAATCACCAAGAAACTCGAACTGTTGGTCGCGCGGGGATTTGTTGGAATTTTTTTTTTCGCAATTTGTGTATTGAAATGACGAAATACGAAATGAATGATCAAGCTTAAACTTGTTGAAGAGGTAGAAAAGTATCCGTGTTTATACAACTAGAAGAATATAGGTTTCTTTGCTCATACGATAGAAAGACTGAAATTTTTTGTCATTAGCCTGTAGTTCTCTAGCAGCTAGAAACATTGTACAATTTTTATTTCTTTACATGTATGGATGAATACACACTCTCCTGAATCTTCCTCCTCATTGCTCGACATCGTACATACGCTACACTGAACAATCGCGTTTATTTTCGATTCTCGTCCCGTCCCCTCGTGTACGAGAATTGAGTATCCAACTAATTTGTAACTGGCGACTCTACTCAGTCTCGTCGTTTATGAGTAGCTCCATGTGCGACGAGCCTACATTCGATTTGAATACACATGCCGTGGACTTGCAAAAGACTGTCAAGTGATTTTATTTTCATTTTAGTTACATACCAGTAACTTCGTGTGCGACGGGCATAAGACAACAAAATTTATCGCATCACCTAAGCATTCACTCGGTAACGAGCTTTATGTCTCTTGAGAGCATCATTAGCTCTAAATTGTTTGATAATTAAATAAGCCGTTACTGCAGCCATACCTAACATGTCCCACATCGATCTGAAATGTTTTCATATATACATAGGACATTTTTGCTTCGTTGAGATTGGCCTCACAGATGCCTTGGCCATTCTCTACTTACGAATAAAGAATTTGCTCGAGAATTGTGAGTCTAGCATACGAGCGACATGATCAGCCGGCGAAGCTGATGTTGAATGAGTATTTCCTCAACGCTGGAGGAATTGGTTTCCTGAAGGATACTAGCGTTCGTTTGGCGATCCTGTCATTATTATTATCCTTGTTGAGCAGCACTACCAGTGGTACTTTTCCAAGCACCTCAGGTGTCGCCTGTACCTAGGTGGTCCAGGTTTGATGATTTTATTTCAGACCGAGAGCGCACCTATGTCGTGGTTATTATCAAATAGGTACCCTTTTCGCTGACGCAATTAAGTCGGCGTTGAATTTCTGTGACAGTGTTTGCATTTGTGAAAAGTTGAATACCAACATAATATGGGAAACATTCTATATTTTCTAGAGGTGCTCCATGGATAATTACCACTGAACCGGGTGTATTGGGATTTGGGACAGGCTGGTATTAGGTATATGGGATTTTTGTCTTATCGGTGGCTCTAGACCACACTTTCGTATATACAGGGTGTCCTTAGATAAACTGACACATTTTACAGGTGAAACTCTCGAAAACGAGAAAAGATAACGGGATGCGGTTTGTTCTGGAAGAATAAGGATTTTTTAAAGTTTTTTTTCATGGTATTGACGAATCCTGAAATTTGGTTTTACGGACATTCGATATTTTTGAAATAATCATACTCATGCCTTATTCTTGATGAAACAGCCGGTATATTTTGTCATCGTCGGAAAGCGTGATTTCTCTACTTCACAAAAATGTATAATTTTTTTCAATTATCATGAAATTGAATCGTAAAAATTGCACCTGGTTGAAGAGCGTACCGTCGGTCGACTGGCCAAAAAAAATGAGAATAATTAATTTGTGTTTTATATGCACTTATTTGTGTTTAATACTTTTATTATTAGTTAACTATGCGCTAATTACTCAATAAAAGTATTAAACACAAATTAATTCTAATTTTTTTTTTTTAATTATTCGATTGTATTGCCTTCGACAAAGTGCAATTTTCACGATGCAAGTTCAAGATAATTGAAAAAAACTATACATTTTTGTAAAGTAGAAAAATCAGGCTTTCTGACGATGACAAAATATACAGGGTGTTTCATTAAAAATAAGGCAGTCAATTTGATTCAGAAAATCGCATGTCTGTAAAACCAAATTTCCGCAAATTTTTGGATTCGGCAATAATGTGAAAAAAAACTTTAAAAAATCCTTATTCTCGCAGAACAAACCGCATCTCGTTATCTTTTCCCGTTTTCGAGATATTCACCTGCAAAATGTGTCAGTTTATCTAAGGACACCCCGTATTTGCTTATTGTATGCATTTAGAGTGGTTTTTAGTTCTTCCTCTGTATTTACTAGGACAGCTTTATCATCAATACTTTGAAGTTCACAAACAATAAAATTGTGGTTTTTTGTGTATACCTTGGTTTTATCTCGAAGTCTGCGAAGCTTGAATGAATAGCTTACCAGCTCTATAAGAGATTTCCACACCCAACGGGAGGTTTTTGTCAACATAGCTAGGAGCGGCTTCTACAAATGCAGAGAATTATCGTTGGCACGAGGTGAAAAAGTAATTTCAAGTTTGTCTGTCTCAAAGTGTCTCATCAGTAACATTTCAAAAATGCATTTCAAGACCAACCGTCGAGAAACCATGACAAAGTTTCTTGTGATACGTAGGTGTTCCTCCTTCTGATTGTTGTATTTTCTGCTAGAGACACAATAGAGCCAACATTTTCTGCTACAGTTATATTTTTTCGGCCAAAAAACTTGACAACTATAGCAAAAACGTTGTATACAGAAAATCATATTTTGGAGCACTGCACTCTGATAAAAGCATGGTTGTCAAATTCATTTATAAACATCTATTAATTTGTATTATTTGTTCTTGAGATTTTGGATGTAACCTCGTAACCGAACCAATGTTTCGCTGCTATCCTAATGTAAAATATCATTTTAATGGCATGAATATAAATCTGTGCCACCCTTCACTATAAAAAATGCACTGGTGTCATATTGCAAAATTTTACACTGCTGTAAAACTTACTCATCTAAAAACTAGTAACTGCTCTAGGCCTCCCTATTATGCGCTTTAACTGTCGCCGAATTATTTTTCGGTGTCTGAGTCTTACTTGTCAAATGAGTTTTTGGCTCAAAGGATTCCTCCTACCCACTCTCGCACAAGTGTTCATCGACGCTCTTTCGCTCATTTTGAAGCCAATGCAGCTCGGTGTCTGAGTCTGAGTGCTCGCGTAGAGCGGCAATTGCGTGCTCACAAACAGGACGTGGTTTCTCGGGCAAATACTGCTTGAGACAATTCATACTGGAATGAGTTTCTTGCTCAAATTTGTCTGAAATTATTTTTCGGAATCGATTTTGTTACATCTCCATCTCATACCTATTAGTCTGAAGAGATACGATATAACCTCAAAAAGTGACAACAGCGTTCATTTATCAGAATCAATTTTAATTTTTCTTCTTTTTAGGCTTAGGTCGATAATCTGATAATCTAAATTACTTTATATGGGTATTTTTATTATTTAATATAAGGAAACCAAAAACCACCCTAAATATAACCTTAAAAAACAGATAACGTTCATTAATATCTCTGTGGTTGGTATCTTGGTAATTCTGAAATTGGGGATAAAAATTGCATGTAAAACCAGTACAAATGTATAGCAGCAATTACCTTGCGGATAGAAAACTTGCAGCAGAGAGAAAAATAGCGAACTGTAAAACGGCCTTTCCGACAGTACCTAACAAGCAAAAAAACTTAGCGAAATTGCTTAGAACATAATGTCCTCTCTAGAAATGGAAAATCGACAATAAAAATAACTCCCATATGAAGGTGCTTCCCCCATGGCTATAGCTGAAGCTGCCACTATTTTGTTTCTGGAACTAAAGATGACTATCAAATAATTGGTCGTTGGGGTGAAAGGTGAAAAAGCAAAATACTTTTTTCAAAGAATCACGTGCCCAAAATCAAATCTGTTTGTCATGAACCCAGGTCCACCTGGTTCTTGTTACAGAGGATTAGCATAGCCATCCAGAGAGGAAATGCAGCTTCGGTGTTGGGAACTTCACCAAATATGCAGGAGCTGGATGAAGTTTTTTATCTTAAATTTTAATTATTTTTGTTTGGTTTATATTTATATTTTTAATATTTATATTTTTCAAATAAAATAAAATCTAAATTTATTTTAATTTAAAATCGAATCAATGAAGGGTGGGAAACAAACCCATGAAATGCAATTTGCATCCATTTTAGTTTACCTACATATCCTATCCGTAACAGTGAGAAGGTATACTTATAGAAACAATATTAATAATTTTCCTGGGTCTATAGCATTCTAGATCAGCATATTCTAGTGAAATTGCAGCTTTTATAAAGTTTGAATGAATTTCGTTTCCAGTTGATCTTGCCTTGGGCAATCTACCTACATATGACCTGAGATGTTTGAATACCTACCTATAATATTCGGCTAATTTGGAGAAAAACATCCTTATAGCTTAGGTATTCTTCTTTGACATTGGTTCAAAACAGGTTTGAAACGGGCAATGGTGTTTCCATTGACTCTTTCCAATCGGTTTTGAACCAATGTCAAAAAAGTAGACGCGAGGAAACGGCTTAGATGTTTTTTTAGTGTTTCAATTCGGATTAAAAATACATTAGGTACCTATCAGGTGAGTTTAGGCAGGTTCCAGTATCTCACATTTTCAACCACAGTGTTAGTATTACCTATACCTAGTATATTATTATGGTTTGAATTTAATTTGTAGTTACTTTTGAGTCAACCAGGCTTTCAATGGGTCTATATATTTTAAGACGGGATGAAGTGCATGTGCTCTCACAAATCAAAAGAAGCAAAGTAGGTGATAACGGCAACGCATTATCAAACATTACGTTTGTTAGAAATTATTATAGATTATAGTGGGTACCTAGTGTACGAAGAAAATTATCTTTAAAAAAAATAATAATAATTTTGTAATAAAAAAACTTTATGTTTTGAGGTATTACCTTACTTTGTAAAATTTATCATTTACCTGATTTGGCTTAGGACTTATTTCTTTTTTTAATGGTAAAGGAGATGTAGGTGATTCTGGTAAATTGCCCTTTACTGAATCCATTCTAAAAATGAATAAACTATTAGTGACTAACGGAATAAAATTTACACTATCAACTCACTTAATACGAGATACTTGAAACCAGTTAACAATTTGCGAGGAGTAACACTTCACTATTTTTTTTTTTTCACTTAGCTTCACACCTAGAAAACGGCAAAAAGGAAAACTCCCGGAATGTTAGTAACGACTGCAGGGATACGAATGACAATAGTCGGCAGCTTGCAAGATTACCCTTTTCAAGCTCCGCCTTGAACGCTGGAAATGGGGTTGTGTTTACATTTCAGCGCCCTGCTTTATCCAATCGAGGTACAGGATCGGAGAGCGACATCACCATCCCTTAAGTGTTAACCAATGATATTTTGGTTTCCCCAGCTAGTCTTTATTAATATTAAACAGTGGATTTCTGATTTATTTTCGTTATCTCTTGATGTAATTTTAAGTTGTATCAACTGATGCCATTTCTTGCTTTAATTTTGAGATGTACCTACCTACCTGCAAAAAAAAAATTGATAACTACTTTTCAGGTGAGTATTTTTTAAATTGATTGTCTATTTCTAACGCCAGTTGTAATGTTCAATCATAATAATTTACTTAGATTTATTAATCACATTTTATTTCATTGGTAAGTGTCTTGACACTTACCAAAGTTTAACTTGTTAAACTTTATAAATAGCTTTCAACTTCATCCAGAGTAATCTAATTTACTCGTATGGGAAGTATGAGAATCTTTAGACCACCGAAAAATGCTTGCCCAACTCAAGTAGGTATAGGCTAGGCTTAAAAACACGAGGCGTTGCGATGACCACCTTCATTGCATCACAAACTGTCGGAATAGTATCAATAATTTTTGGTTTACATTGTGGACGGTTTTATAGGGCGTATGGCATTTCGAGGAGTATTAAAATTGTTTTTAGAGTGTTGTACCTACGTCTCATTTTTATCGAATTTTTTTAAGTGAAATAGTAAGTAGACATTTTTCGTATTTTAGACTCCAGGATTTTATTTTACAACAAAGTTTTTAATCATTGGTCTAGTGACTAGTGCGAATATTTGGTAAACAACTTATTGAAAACACATTTTAATACGAATTTCAATAAACTGGGCTGAATCACTGGAATAATTTTAATTAATAAAGATGCTTTTACAAGGGAATATTGGAAAGATAATTTCAAAAAATAGGTATAAGATATTTTTCTGGATTTATTGGTGAAATTTTCAAAGGATATTTATCGAGGCAAAACTTGCTACAGCTTTCTCAAATGTGTTTTGCTGCTTTTGTCTGTACAATCGCATCCAAGAATCACATGAACGATATCTCCAGTAGAAATATTTTTTTTCTGCAAAAATCATTACAAAACCTACAATTATTGATTCCAAAAAAGTGTGTCTTACTAAAGAAAAGTAACTAAAGAGGGATCCCGTCACCCAAGGACCCAACTCCAGCCTCTGAGGGAAATCGAAGATGCACCCCGAGACAATAATGGGCCACTTTCACATTTTTAAAAAACTTTTAAATTATCGTGTTAGTCATTCTGATAGCATCTCTATACCTAAGCTTATTTTTGGAAATAAAACGATTTGAAAATCGAACTTTTGAACTGCCGCGAAAACGTACGTGGGCTCCAAGAGTGACGACACTTTCCGGAAAATGTGAGGATGCCGAATTTCTCATCAGTACCTATATCATTACACAACTCACTATCTAATAGAAATTTTCGTCCTTCACTAGGTACCTACGTTATAAAAAATAAAGGATAGGTATACCTAATCGTTTAAACTCATTTAAATTTAATATATTTTTAAAGTGCATGGCAACAAAATCATGAATAGCGGCTTTAGCCAATGAGACCGCGTTTTCAGTAACGTGATTTTTATTTTTTGTTTAAATTCGCTATTTTTAGAATAATTTATTATTTATTCAATATCCTGACTGAAATCTTGGAAAATATTGTTCATTCTCGGTTGCATCCACGTATCTTTATTGATCACATTTGCGTCAGCCATTTTTGACATATCTTAGCTTAAACTATGAATAAATTGCAAAGATGTTTTATAAAGATTATATCTCTTGACATGCTTAAGAAATTTATTTTCAAATTTTTCATAAGTTAAGCTTAGATCTTTCATTTTATCGCATAATATACAGAATGTTCCATTAAAAAAAGTTAAAGTTGTCTACGTTTTTCCATTTTCCGATTTCCGAAGCAATTTTGTTTTTCCTGATAACGTTAAAAGAAACGCTGTGTCTAGCCTCCCGGCACCGGTATTCATACGAATCCCGGTTATGGCGCGTTTTAAATGACGTCATCAATAACCACCGGTAACTGTCGTGGATCCCGGCTATTGCTATACAAGATGTTAATAATTATTATGTTCATTGGTATTGGGGCAGATTTATTATGAAGAGTAAAAAAAGTAAACAAAGTCGGGCGCGATAAGCTTTTATTAATGGAAAATAAAATTATGACTTTTTATTATATGTAGGTACAGGGTCATTTTGAAAGTTTGTTCAGCATCTGATCTTGTACAGCAACGCCGTTAATGTTTAGCAACATTACACAGGGTGCCCCAAAATTAGAGGCTAATATTTTAACTGAGGATTCTATATCTCAAATTAAGAGCAAAAATTCCTATAAACATGGGTCCAAGAGTACCCTATTCCAGAGATACAGGCTGCTAAAAAAGCTATAGTCCTGAATAATGAATGAAAATAAACCATACTATTCCCTTTTTAAACCACTACTACGAAAAGTAGATTAACGAAGTACTTACCACTCTAATACCAATATCACAACAAGAAACAATAATACACAAAAGCTATTCCGGAATCAATCACAGCTTCAAGCAGCAAGAGAAACACGACTTTGAATTTTGAATCCAATAGCCGGGGTACACGTTAAATCCCGGCGGTCGTTGATGGAGTCATCGAAAACGCGTCATAACCGGGATTCGTATGAATACCGGTGCCGGGAGGCTAGACACAGCGCAAAAGAAAATATAGAAACAAAAACTGTTAAGTTTTGTATTTAAATTTATTCTCTATCTTAAATAGTAAAGGCTGTAGCATTGTAGGTATGGGCTTAAACATAATGAAATACCCTACATTATAGGAAATTACCATGAGCTGTTGATAGAGGGCAGCACTTTCGACAAGACATTTAGAAAGAAAAAAAAATCAGCGCAGATTTCAAACCTACTTTTTATTTTCTACTAGCAGTAGTAAAAAAAATTCTATATATTACTTGGTAGAAAAAGTCATTATATACCTTGCGCATTATAAACGTCGGCGCCTCGAGCCCCGGTTTATAAAAGCGCTCGGTATATACCAACTTCTCTACCTAGGTATATAATATACTATTATGGTTCACTTCTTTGTCGAGTGTTGACGACAATAAAGCTCAAGCCTCAAATTATGGACCGCTTTAAGATAAACTAATTTATAACATTTTCCGTGGTTTCGGAAATAATTATTAGGCAATTTATAATTTCACAGACATATTTCCCTTTCTTCACAAATGTGCATCTAAAAATAGAATCGAAAGGTCCGAGCGATTTTTCTGATCCGGATTTGCTGTACAAAATCAAATCCATTTAAAAAAACTCACACTGTATAATAATATACCTTCTTAGAGTGGTAGAAAAACTAAATTAAGTAACAGATTACTTAACGAAAAAGACGTGAAGGCAGATACGAAGTAAATAAATGAAAAGGGTCGGGGTCTTGTGAAACTTTTATTCCACTACAAAAAGAGTTTAGAGGAATGGCTAGGGAGGCAGTAGATACAGACGTTAACATATATTTAGAAGTTCCTTCTATTACACGTTAAAATCCGGGATAATCTTCCACTCGTTCCGGGTAACTCAATAATAGCAATAATTGAACCTCGGGGTTATTATACCACATGGATACACTTTGGCTTAGCCATAATGGTATTTACAGAGATTGAAAATATGTGCATCTACCGTATAGAGATGCGGATTATGGATTTAGCGCGTTTCATTATATCACAGAATAACCATATTGCACATTTGATTTAGTTCACTCGACTATCGTACATTTGATGGTTATGTAAACTAGGTTGGGTCGAAAAAAACCAGACGATAAATTAAACACCCAAATTTAAATTATGTATGAGGAATAAATGTTTCCTTCTTTTTTCGAGCCCCTATCGGGAGTGACCTGACCGCCTCGACCCCTAATCTTTAACGGAAAAAGGAAATCGAGTGATAAACGTCTCATTTTAAATTAGTTTAGTTAGTTTTAATTTTTTGAATTTGATTCGGCCGGTTGCGAATCTTTGGCTTGGTTCGGTAAATGCATCTGCGAGCAAAAAGAATAAATTTCGTGATCACTTACTTATATTTTTTCACGAGTCAAATCACGTGACATCTGTCAAATTTTACTCGTTTTGCTCGCAGATGCCATACCGAACCCAGCCTTTGACGTGCCGCGGGAATTAACACATTTATAACTTTATAGCTAGTTTGTTATAATTTCTTTCAAGCTATTCTTGTCTTACTTTTATGAGCAAAATCAAGTTTCTTCAACTAAACCCAAGAAGCCATGTCGAAATGGGTTGCCAGTATGCGCTTGGGTATCTACTCTTGATTTTGTGGATTCTTTTAAATTATACAGGGTGATTTGAAATGTAGAACTTAAAAGGAAAACTTTTTCAAATTTGGTAATTATTCTCAAATATTTTCACAGGTGCAGGAAGAGTTGGGACCTACTAAGGTAATACAGGAAAATATCAGTAATCAATACTGTATGATTTTAAGAGATCATTGCATTTTCGACTATGGCATTGCCTATCTAATTGTCAATTAATAGTTTTGTGTCTACTGTGTCAAACGCCTTTTGGATGTCAATGAAAACCGTTAAACCTAACTATTTCACTAGCTATGTGGTCCAGCAAATCCGCAGTGGTTTGAAGTGTACTGCGTTTCTCTTGAAATTCATATTTAATTGTCTTTTATCGAATTTGAAGGTAGAGTTGATGAAGCTGACCGATCTTGCTTCTACAACCTTTTCTACAATCTTGGAAAAATACTTAGAAGGGATATCGGGCGATAGTTGTCATCATGAGAATCTTTTGTATACACTGGGATCACTTCGGTTATTTTAAGCTCTTCTGGGTAATTTCTAGTACCTAC